ACTCAAAGCGTCCATCTCTATCTGTTTTGATATGAGTTACCGACCCAGGATTTTTCAGCTTTAAATTGTGACAATAAGCCGACAGTTGGGCAAACGATGCTTCTGGCGACCCCCTCAACATTCCAAGGCATAACATTTGGCTCTCCAAGCTTGAGAATATGAGATACTAATCTTGAACCGAGCATTCATGTCAGTCATAATTTCATGTCCCCGATATAGCCTACCATTCAAAAACATTAACTCAGCCAGAAACCCCCAACACCTTTTTGTTTGCCTGTCTATGGTGAGGAAAACTTGGGTTCTTGAACATGTATGTTTATCAATAAAAGTCCTAACTTGAAATATTTCGCAATCTTTTATCCTCTTTGCAATCATACCCCATACAGTTTTTGTCAATCATACACCTTGTTTTCGAAACGATCTTTGCTTGATTGTTAACTTTTAGTTGATAGCCATCTTCCACACATTTCGTATACAAAGCTATCTTCAAGTCTTCCTTTGTATCAAAACAATCATCTTTTCTTGATACGAATAATTTTGTGTGACAATCAACTGCTATCTTTACCAACTCTTCTTCCGGTATCTGAAGTAATTCTGACATATTCCAGTTATACTCCCGTGGCATTTTCTTCGGGGACTTTTCTTTGGGGATTTCTTCTCTCTTTTTTCTTCTTCAGTGTTATATGAATTATATAATGGATGTTCAACATGTTCATTTACAGTCGTAACTTCCTCATTATCATCAACAACATCTTCCTCGGCAACGGCTGTTTCATCATCAAAATTCGGGTATTGACCAATATCAAAATCATTACACGCAGGGTCTGTTTCTTCTTCTGAAAAATCATCAAAATCCGAGTATTGACCAAGAAAGTTTGGGTATTGACCAAGATCAAATTTCGAATACTGACTAGTACTCACAATTTTTTTTTGTTGGCTCATCATCGTCTAACTGGTCAATACGAAAACCGGAATTTTGTGCTGAAAGTTGATTGGGATTTGGATTAGGGAAAGGTTGTGGGTTTTGAGATTGTGTTTGGTATTGGAAATGTGGTGAAACAATATTTGTTTGGTGATGAAATTGTGGTGGAACCATTAAATTTTGAGCACCATAAACTGGGTTGAAAAACTTAGTTGATTACTACCCGCTACTGACTCAACTTCACTACTTCTAGGTTCAACAACATACAATGTAACATCATCACTTGAAACACTAATGTAAGCAATGAATCGTTCAACATCTTCATTGTCGGTTAACAAATAAACTTTACCATTTCTCTGATAAGATAGCCTAAATCCACTTAGGGGCTCTAAATTCAATTTATTTGCAACACGTAACATTAGAGTTTCATAAGTTAACTTTTTTAATGACAGTTTTAGTTGAAGATTCATGGGTAAAGGCATATATTGTAAAACACCATGAACATTCTCCCATGACCCTCCAAAACACAAATCTATCCAAACATGATCAACATTAGATGATTTCATTATTGTAAATTAATTTACTAAACAAACGAGCTGCGAAACTAAAACCTGTTGCCGGATGGGGAAGGATGTCGTTGGATATAGGAACGGATGTCGCCGGAGAGAGTGATAGATGGAGATGGAATGAGTTGCGATTTAGGGATTTAGGTTATGAGTTACTGCTGTTGCGTATTTATATACCCAAAACATTTGTGTTGCGAAATTAAAACCTGTTGCGAATTCAGAAATCGAGTTACGAATTTGAAATTCAGTATTGCGATAGTCAGAATCTCGTTGCGAATTAGGAAAATCGCAATGCGATTACGTAAATCGCAATGTGAATTAGGAAAATCGCAACGCGAATTTGGGAAATCGCAATGCGATAGTCAGAATCGCGTTGCGAATCTGGAAACTGATTTGCGATACCGAATATCGCGTTGCGAATTATCGATCGCATTGCGATTTAGTTGGTCATTTTGGCAAATCCAAAAAAAGTTGGTTAAAATCGTATATTATAAGGCATTTTTTGTCACTGAGATTATTTTCTCAATTTAAAATACACTTTTATATGACACTTTTAAAAATTTATTTTTACAACACTTTTAAAAATCTCTTTTTAAAAGCGTTTGGTCCTAAATGAATTATTATTATTATTTTTCAATTGTTAACCTACCGTTCACGAAAGTTGCTAAAAGTGCATATAACAAAACCATTCTTGATATATATATATTTGTTCGGTAAAAGAAAATTTATTAATATTAGAGTAAAACAATCCAAATTATATTTCTCATTAAAAACCTCCTAAACAAACCATTCTTTTATATATATATATATATATATATATATATATATATGAGGCATAATCCAATCACATAATGTAAAACTCTTTTAGTTTTACATAGATTTAGAACTATTGGTGAGAGAAAATAAATGATTGAAATTAAAAGTAAGAAATGTGAAGATTATCACTTAAAAATAATAATAAATTAATCTCAACCTTTAATTTTTACCATCCAAATGTACTAAATAATATATATATATATATATATGCGCGCGCGGAGGCTTCTAGTTTAGTCTCTGGATTTGGGACATGTTTGCCATTGCACAATGTTTCATGCAATTAAATCCCTCTTGACTTGAATTCCATAGCTGTAAATTGTAATGGATTCACATCCGAGTTACTAGGAGATATCAAATCAACCATGTTCCAACGCAGTGGGACACAATTATTTTAAAAAAATGGTAAAAGTTCATGTCTTGAAGTTTGATACTAAGATTTTTGGAACATTCTCCAACATGGGATAGCCGACAAGAGAAATTGTGATTAATATTAAAAATAAATCACTAATTACGATTATTAATAAATAATTAGACATTGGATTCCATAGCTCTTTATATATAGTACTGTTTAAAACTCCTTTGTAAATTAACAACATTGATGTAGTATTTTTCTACTCAATTAAGAGCTTTAAATCCTTAGATGGCTTCCTCCCTCCTTTCGTTAACTACATCTTTCTTTGGTAAAACACCCAAGGTTGCACCATTAATCTCTCAAAGATGCAGAGGGAGTGTCAGATATGGTGCCAGTACCAAAATTTTCAGTTCATCGACCAGTAGAAGGTCAGGGAACTATCAGCCTTGCTTTTGGAATGATGATGATCTGCAATTGTTGTGCAGCGATTATAAGGTATAGTTATCATTATCATTGTCTTCGTTCACTAATCTATGTATGTCGTTCAGCCGTTGTCGGTGAATTAGAAGATGGAATGTTGTTTAAAATTCCAGGGACATGAGTATGCATGACAAGTCGAATTGCTGAAAGGAAAAGTGAAGATGATACTGAACGATATTGTGGAACATGATCGGCTATTGGATCAACTCGAGATGATCGACAGCTTGCAGAGGTTTGGAGTGGCATATCATTTTGATGATGAGATTAACATGATGTTACTGAACATATATCAGAATAGTGACAATCAAATGAGAAAGGAAAATCTGTATGCAGCAGCTTTGGAATTTAGGCTCCTCAGGGAATATGGATATCATTCATCTCCGGGTACGAATGATTCCGTAATTTACAATGAAATTCTTGTTGGGGGTGTTTTTAATAACTGGATTTGCTCGACTGTTTTCAGGACGATTGAGGAAGTTTCAGGCCACCTCTATGTAAGGATATCAAGGCAATGCTGAGCTTGTATGAAGCTTCATACTACTGTTTCAAAGGAGAAAGCATAATGGAGGCAGCTTGGCACTTTACGTCTGAAAATTCGGATATGTGAAGGATGACATCGATCCTATTCTCGCCTTCCAAGTCCGGCATGCCATGGAGCTTCCATTACAGTGGAGAATGCCAAGGTTGGAAGCGAGATTGTACGTCGATGTATATGAAAGAAGATCGGACTCAAACCCGATTGTATTAGAACTAGCAAAGTTGGACTTCAATGTTTTACAAGCACTGCACCAAGAAGAAATCAAGGATATGTCAAGGTAATGGAATCATATATATATATACACACACATATAATAAAACATGTAATTGGTTTTCATGTACTTGAATTTTATTGCAAAAGGTGGTGGAAGAACACTGGTCTTGGAGAGAAATTGAGCTTTGCCAGGAATAGATTGGTGGAATCCTTCTTATGGACACTGGGGATAGCTTTCAAACCCAAGTTCGGAAACTTACGACATCTTGAAAGAGAAAGGTCATGACGTCGTGTCAAATCTTAAAAAGGCGGTAATGTATCTATTGTCTCTCATGAATTCCATCTGATTTAAGGCATTGTGACAGGTTATCATAACACTTCTTCTGCTCTGGTTATGGCGTCAGTGGGTGGATTTACTTGGATCCTACATGTTGGAGGCAAGACGGTACCTCAGTGGATATACGCCAACTTCTGAAGAGTACATGGAAAATGCCGGGATATCAATAACTTTAATAGCAACTCAAGCAAATCTATTCGTAACAAATAAGATAAACGAGAAGGAGCTCGAATTCCTCGAAAGCTACCCCGAGTTATTATACTGGTCATCTGTGGTTTTTCGACTTCAAGATGATTTAGGAACTTCACCAGTACAAAACCGACCGAACTGTAAGAGCTCTTATCAGATGAAGTTTGAATTCCATGAACTGATCACATTTCACTTCGATTTCAGGATGAGTTGAAGAGAGGCGATGTTTCAAAATCCATCCAATGCTACATGCACGGAAACGTAGTACCGGAGGAAGCCACCCGGGAACATATAAAGAATCTAATGAGAGAGACATGGAAGAAGGTGAATATACACCGAGCTACTGTGTCCCCATTATCCCAAAGTGTCAATGGAATTAAACTGAATCTGGTGAGAGCCCATTGTATTTATCAACATGGAGATGGACATGGTTCTCAAAACCACTAGACCATTCCTTACTGTGGTTGTTGCAATGCCATTGCTTTTGATCCCATTCCTTTGTAAACTAGCCATTTCTTACTGTGGTTGTTGCAGCAAAGATGAATGTAGTACTGAAATCAAAGCAGCAAAAACTGGGAACCACTTGAGAAAAAGGAAGGACGACATTGCAATTGATTTGATGCACCAATTGTTCTAAATTTTTGTTTTAAATTGAAAAAACAAAAACAGATCATCTGCATGAAATCATGAGGCCATACTGCACAAATACAATTACTGACATCCTGAAATCATTTAGGCAGTCACCAGTAAGACGAGGCTCCGGTTCTATTAAAATTTAGTAACCATTTATTTGAGGCCTTGGAGTTGGACCCATCAGCCGAGAAAATGGCATTTGCCCAGCATGTTGATCATCTGTTTTCTGATCTGAGAATGGTTTGGAAAAAGCTTGAGCAAGCTCCAATGCTGATGCTGCTTTTCCATAGCGCAAACCAGCAGCTTCGGGAGAGACAGGCTTAGGCTGGTCGGCAGGCTTATGCCAGGTTTCAGGTGACGGCTGCCTCTCCTGCTGCTGCAGCCACCGTGGCTGCTGCTGTCTTTCAGTTTCCCTTTCATTCTGCTGATTTTCATTACGCCAGTTCCTCCTTTGCATATCAACTCTTTCATTGTGAACAACGTGGTTTCTCTCAGATTTTCTTCGAGGATTCCCAACTCTTTCACCATGGCGAGCAGCAGGTTGCTCAGCAACTTTTTCACTTCTTGGAACATTATGTTTGACCCTTTGCATAACAATAACGATTAATGAAGACATGGTACATTTATTTTAAGTCAATTGGTGAACAAACCCGATAAGCAAAAAGGGTAAGATGTTCCACAACAGTATGAGATACAAGAAACCACTACCTATCATGATGTTGGCCTGGCTCATGGCTGCTGTCATCAATCCCTCTCTCCTTCAGAACCTGTGAAGCAGAACAGCAACACGGTCAGCTCCTATGATGAAAACCACATTAACAATAATAATATCAAGTGTGAAGCTATAATAATAAATCAAATTATGCTGAAATAAAAAAGATAGTGATGAAAAAAAATCATTAAAGCAATCCAATAAGCAATCAGGAGAGATTCACTCACCAGTTCTCGTGGGCCTGCACCACCAAACAAGGCATTTCTGCATCAGTAACACTTCGCAAATAAATACCCATAAACCTAAAGTGACGATTGTTCCAGAAAAATAAACTAAAACAAAACACCCTCATCCATACGACATTAGTGTAGATAAGTAATCATAGATTACTTGTGCATGGCAATGTGACAAATAGGAGACTAACAAAATTTAAGAAAATCATTCATTTTTTCATTGTTATTTAGTTGCTTCATAACAGAATTAAATGTGAACCAATGACTCACAGTTAAATTATTGCCTCAAATCATGATGTTTTAATCCCTATTTAGTACCGAGACTATTATCCAAATTTTCCCCAAAGAAATTACTGGATGTCAATTTTCTAATGCATTATTTGTCACTTAAATACCTTAATAATTCTGTCTCCCACCCTCATTAAATTAATGATTATATAATAACAAAAATACATATATCTAAGGCACTCTAACCTTTCCTTCTCAAAATTACCCTCCAATTGTTCATTGGGCTGTGAACGAGGCTTTAAATTCAGTTTAGGACGGTCCACTGCCTGGTTCCCATTCTCACTGCCAGCTGAACCAGGTTTTGAAGTATTCACATATCCATATGAATCATTACCAATTCCAGCATGATCAATAACAGATTCACTTGGCCGCAGTTGCCCCTTTTACGAGAAAATAATTAGAATTAGGAGAGGATAAAGCGAATGCAAGATTCAATACTATGGCATCGTATCAAACACCTGATTAGCATCAACAAAAGGTGATTCCAGATTATCCAATTGCTTGGTGCGAGGAAGTAACTTCAACTTGGGCCGCTCAGATGCATCAGACCGCACTGACGACAATGGCTGTGACTTAGAACTGCCAAATTTGCCATCTGCACCACTGGATTGAGTTCCTTCACCGTAAATATCTGATTTATTTTCTTTAAGTTCCAAATAGTTAGGAGTGTGGTTCCTCTCATAGTCTGGTATCGCCTTTCTACCACCCTGAATTCCATCTTCAATGTTCAGTCCTCTTTCAACTTGCCTTGCCAACATCACATCATAATACTCCCTCCCGGCTACACCATTCGTTCTGCCGTGTGTCTTATCATCATAACCCAGGGGATGCAAGCCATTTTCTGTTTCCTTGTGTTTACTAACATCAACATCTTTCTGATATAGAACAGTCTTATCATCATAACCCAGGGGATGCAAGCCATTTTCTGTTTCCTTGTGTTTACTAACATCAACATCTTTCTGATATAGAACAGATTGCTTTGACTGCCATCTACCCGAGGAAACTTTGTCAATAGCACTAGCATGAGCCAACTTCAAGACAGCACTTTGTTCAGCATGAGCAACACTCACTGCCAACTCCTTCCTAGCGGCCCATGCATTAGGATACGGCCCAGAAGCAGCCTGCCTATGATTCCCCCCAGAATTGTGAGAACTCGTGCCAACAGCTTCAGCCTCAGACACTCGACTAGAGTAGAGATTCCCTGAGCCACTAGACAATGGAGCTACCTGAGCTAAGCCATATCGCCCCAAAAACCTCCCAGCATGAACAGACTCTGGCTTCTGCTCCAGACGACTAGCTGGAACCCCTAAAATCTCATCGGTAACAGTTCTACGCGGGGCAGAACCCCCAACTAACGGCTTCCTTTCATCCTCATCAAAATAACGACCAATATGAACTGAACTGGTAAGAAATGGAGTTTTATCATCAAAATGCCTAGTTGCAGGTGACGAATTCGGCCGGGCACGGTGATCAGGTCGCCCAACCGGGTTTCCCAATGACGTAGCTCTATCAAAACCCGAACGATCGGTAGGCCTAACGGTCCTGTACTCATAAAATCCAATATTAAAAAGCTAGGGTTTCGCTAGCAGATCCAAAGGGTTTTCAGATCTAATAAGAAACAACACAATCTCAAAATTTTGGATAACACCCAGCAAAGTATACATCATAAACAAAAAGAAAGAAGAGAAAATGAAATTTGAAATTTGGGAACTTACACGCCAGGGGCAGAAGGGAGAGGAAGATCAGATGGGATAGAACCGCCATGAAAATCTTTTAAAGTCATCGTACTGCCACTGAAAGCTTTCTTCTTTGACATCTTCTCCTTTGTTCCTTTGTCTCCCCAAGAACAAGAATAAAAAAAATCCCCCCGTTTGCCCTCTTTCACCCCTGAAATCTTTATGAATTAAAAAACTGTACCGGCAGGTAAATATGTATTAAAGACAATAAGAGGAACCCCCGATTTATTGAAGCTAGAAAGAATAGGTAAAAAGAGGGGGGAAAGTATAGAAGAACGGAGAAGAGGAGGGGGTTGCCTCTTACACTATGGTTTCTCTACTATACAAACAACACAATCAAATCTCTCTCTCTATCTCGGGTATGTTCTTTGGTTGTACGCGGCTTCTTCTTCGTCGTCGTCGTCGTCTTCTTGGATCGACCACTTATTAGGCATCCAACCCGGGCTTGAGCAACTGAATTACGAGCTTAAACAGTGGAATTTTGAGGTTAAACAAAGCCTGTACTGTTTTGGGCCAAACGTTATTTCGAATGTCAAATAGCTTAATCAATGGGCCAAGTCTTTTTCACCTACTATTTAATGGATCCAGCGGATTTACAAATCGTATTAAAATTTTTATATATAAATTATAAGAAATAAATATGACATGTAAGATTATCTCTGAAAAATATACTATGAGATAATTCATTTAGAAGTTCAGATTTCGGAATGTAAAGGTAAGATTATTTAATTATAAAAAGAAAAAAATTTATAACCTTCGACCAGTATTGATGAACACCACTAACGATGAACATCATTAATTTAATTTATAAAACTTTAAAATTATAAAGTATTCAAAGTGTAATTATAAATTAGTTAAAAATATAAACGTAAATGATTTAAAATAAAATATTAATTACATTATTTTTATAACCTTATTTTAAATAATAATTAGACAAATATTAACCCCTACTTAAAAAAACCCTACATTTTTTTCTTGCTTTGACGTGGTGACAACGACAACGACAACGATGGTAGTGGCGACGGTGCCGGGGGCAACAAAAGCGATGACGACAACAACAGTAGCAATGTCGACAACAATAGTGGCAGTGATAGCGGCAACATAAACGACGACGATGACTCCAAAGCAAAAAAAATTAGGGTTTTTAATTTAGGAGTTAATATTTAATCTAATTATTATTAAAAATAAGACTATACAAAATAGTTTAATCAATATTTTATTTCAAATAATTTACATTTAGATTTTTTAACTAATTTATAATTATACGTTGAGTACTTTATAATTTTAAAGTTTTATAAATTAATAATGGTCATTTTATAAATTAAATTAATAATGTTCATCGTTATTGGTGCTCATCGATGCTCGTCGAGCATAGTAGAATAATCGTTATAATAATAATAATACTGGTAAAAAGAAATATATAAATATCAAATTGATAGTTTAATTATAATACGGAGACTAAAAAAGATATTAACCTATAATGGTATGCAACTGATTAATTACATATTTTCTGTTACACAAAAATAAGCTCAAAATATTAATAATGCTTGATTTTTGTTGAGGTGGCACTGCCAAAGAAAGAATTAAGTAATAAGTAAGTTTTCATTTCTTTCCATGTTTCACCGCCCTGAATCATCTAAACAAGGAAACACATAAAAGATACAGGTTAATTTCTTGTGATAAATCATCAAATCTATGCATGCTTCTACTGCCATTTTACATGTTTTTTTGTCCAAGGGGTAAAAGAGTTCACCTAGTCCTTTGTCACTTCACTGGCGATTCAGGAGACGATCTCGTAATCTTGGCGAGTTCAGTTTGGTCATCTTAATAAACTTAAAGACATGAGAAACTTCCGATTCGGACTAGTTCTTGGTATCATCATTGGAGTAGGAATAGGTGTTGTTTCAGCCATGGCTGTAACGTGGTGCATTAGGTACCGAAGGAAGCGTCTCGATCGTTCCGTTAATAAGGAGAAGGTTCTTCCTACAACTGAAAAGCTTCCGATCTGTGTTAGTGGATCACATCCGGGTGCAGTGTTTTCGGATTCGAACATCTGTCGAGATTCCCCTAGAACATCCGAATGGAGTAACATGCCCCAATGGTTGGAAGGGCTTAGGAGGAAGAGCGTGGAATCCGCATGTGGCATACCAAAGTACTCTTACAAGTAAGTTGATACCAATACTGTTACAAATACAATCGCTTCGGTTTTCTTTTCTTCTTTCTCCGTACAAACTGGGTTCGAATGTTTTCGCAGACAGCTACAGAAAGCAACTAGCAATTTCACGACAACTATCGGTGAAGGAGCATTTGGTCCAGTCTACAAAGCTCGAATGGAAACTGGTCTGACTGTTGCTGTTAAAGTGCTTGCTAATGATTCCAAGCAGGGAGCAATGGAGTTCCTTACAGAGGTAATTATAGACTAAAAATGGTGCCGGTCACAAAATGCACATTAAGGTCGACTTTTTTCGGTTTCTCTATGCCTTGAAGAAGAAAAGAGAAGGCAGAGTTTGCAGATATCAATATTTTGTTGTTCTATTCCCAGGTTCTGTTGCTTGGAAGATTACACCATAGGAACCTGGTGAACTTGATGGGCTATAGTGCAGAAAGAGGACGACATATGCTTGTTTATGCTTACATGAGCAATGGAAGTCTTGCCTCCCATTTATATTGTAAGAAAAGACACAATAAATAGTTCTTCAGATATTATCCTGCAATTTCAATTATTTCAAGTCAAGCATTTTCGTTGTGTTTCAATTGCAGATGAACATCATGAGACATTGAGCTGGAACTTGAGGGTTCAGATAGCTCTCGACGTGGCGAGAGGTTTGGAGTACCTTCATTACGGGGTAAGTTCCGATTTCATTTTGTTACACAACCTGTAAGACTAACAGAACCTTCAAGGTTTCCTGTTTCTAGTCACTTAGCTACATTTATAGCAGGCTGTTCCTCCAGTCGTGCACCGTGACATCAAATCGTCGAATATACTGCTGGATGGCTCCATGAAAGCCAGAGTATGATTTCAGCTCTCCTTTTGCTAGTTCAATTCCCCCTATCTCTGAGGTTTAATATTTTCCAAATTAAGCAGGTGGCTGACTTTGGAATTTCAAGACAGGAGAAGGGTAATCTGCGTTCATCTGATGTGAAGGGAACTTTTGGATACATAGATCCAGAGTACATTTCTACGTTGACGTTTACTTGTAAAAGCGATGTTTATAGTTTCGGGGTTCTACTGTTCGAGATAATGAGTGGAAACAATGCACAAAAGGGTCTCATGGAAATTGTAGAGTTTGTACGTCCAAACCATTCTAGCTTTTGCTTAAACTGATACTCTGTGCCTATTGCATCCACGTATGAAAAAGGCTTTTGACATTGAATAGGTGGCTATTGGTACTGAAGACCATGAAGGGTGGGAACAGATTGCAGATCCTAGACTCGAAGGAAAATTTGATGTTCAACAACTGAATCACATGGCTGGTCTGGCTTATAATTGTGTAAATCCTGTCTCGAGAAAAAGGCCAACAATGAGGGAGATCGTGTTGGCACTGTCGGAGATTCATAAGCCGATGAACTCGGAAACCTACCGTGCTGTGGTGGCAGACACTACTTTCGAACTGGACTTGAAAGGGACTGCTGGTTATTCTTTAACTGAAAGATGAAAAGATTTATGGACAATTGGTAAAATTGGACCCAAAAACAAAGTATCCTGGTCATTGTTTCTTACACAAGAATCTTTCCAGAGTTTTTGCAATAATAGCATATAATGTTCTCATTTCCATTTAAATTGATACTCACAGCACAAACATGAGGCATCAAAAGTAAGTTGTAACAGTGTTTACTCGACAAACTACGACCGAGGAGTTGTCTCTAGAAATCTTCACCAGTTCAGAACAGAGAATAGGAAGAACCAAGAACCGAGGAGTGGTTTTTCCCCCAGGTTGGATCCTCTGAGACTCTAAATCCATTACCTGAGAGTGATCCTCAAAGGGGTTCACCTGAAAGCACAAAGTCATGAATGTAAATGATATACAACAAACAAATCATTAGAAATTGCGATGGAAACTTAATGAAAATCCAGTATACCCTTGGTCCATATTGCTTGACAAACCACTCGGACGCTCTAGCATTTGAAGCTTCAAACATGGTCTTCTCGAGACCAAGACGACCATAACCTTTGCAATTACGTCTACAGAGTCGGCATATTTGCATAAATCATCTGCATCAAACATAATCATGTGTGCAGCAGCTTATAAGCATCTCTCAGCCCTTCTGATCAATAGATCCACATCTTCAACAAGTTCTGCAAATATGGATAAAAAAAATACAAAATTTGAGCTTTTCAAAACTAAACAACTTAAAGAAGAATGATTGATGAAATGATAAAGAAGCACATGTAGAATCTGCATCTCTCAATTAACTTTAACAATCTTGAAAAAAAAATTGCTCGTCCAAAGAAAATTCAAGACAAAACAATCATAGCAGCAAGAGGACATGACATTCCATATTCAATGGTTCCACTCTAACCAGTATGAAAGCTGAACATTATTGCCATGACATATTCACAGACACAAAATAAAGGGTCTAAGAGATGGAAATCAATAAAAAGAGTATGATTAGCTACTAAATTCAACTTCCCTGAAATTTAATCTGATAAAAGCAAAATAAATTCAAAGTCCTCAATCCTCATCACAAATGGGGATCAATAAAAACCAAAGCCATTAAAGGAATGGTCCCATACCAGTTGATCTAGGAGGAGGAGAAGGAACATAAGCCCCAAATGCTCTATCTCCACCAGTGGGAATATCAGACTTGTTGAACATGACAGCAAACTGAGGATTGGCTTTTAGGCCACCACTTTTAATCAATCTCAAATATCTCAGAAGAGTATCTTCAGAAACTTCAAAAGATGGCACATTCAACTCGATTGTATCAAACCCCATTTGTTTACACTCCTTTTAAACATTAAACAATATCAGAAAGGAAAGCACTTCACATAATCTTTAAACACTGAACATAATCAGAAAGCAACAACATTTTCATGTGGGTATAAATTCAGCTGTACCTCAAGGACCTTTGCGAATCATATATTCAGCCCAATCACCAGTACTAACAAAAACATCATGCTGGTGAGCCATGTCAATCACTTGTTTCAGAAATGATTTCGGCATCAAGCTATGAGAACCCCCAGAGAATTCCAACCCATCAACAAATTGACCCATCGACTCAAATATCTCCTGGTAAAAGAATCAATTTTTAGCAAACAAATACGTCGATCAAAACATTAAAAACAACCCATCGAATTTCCATACCTGGAGAACGTTCTGGGTCAAGAGAGTGTGATTGGGTCCCCGCATTTCCGTGTCCCCAAACCGCCGAGGCTTCTCGGGTCGATCCTCGTCTTCCTCGAAATTCTTCCATCTGTAATACAGCGACAATTTTGTTCACCCTCTCTTCTTTAAGTTTCTTGAAAAAGGAAATGAAAGAGTTCCTTGGATTTTTGTCTCCCAATATAAGCATTTGTAGTTCGTTCTTAATTGGAATTTGATAAAATGATGACAATCATCTTTATGTGTAGCTTTGTGTTGGTTCTAGAGAAATGTTTCTCCCGTGACCCACCGAACACCTGTACTTTTCGTTATATATGGTAAATTATACAAATAGTTACTATTAATATTTGAGTAAATTTTTATTTTTATTTTTATTTTTTTATAAAATTTTAAAAATAATAATGAAGTGTTGATGTTACATGTTAAATTTTTTTTTGGGCATTATTTGATCAAGTTCATTACTCAAAATTGAACATTTCTGTTTTATCTTCACTCTCTCTATGCTTCTCCCACTTCTCTTTCTAAAATCACTCACCTCCCATATATTCATCTATAGACCCGGGAACCACAATCTACTATCTAGCAGCTAAAGAAACAATCTTTGCATGGAGTGAGATTGTCTTCAAGCCTTTCATATGCGCCGGGTTCTCCCTCCTCAGCTTGTCATTGTATAGCTTCCAAAAATTTCATCTAAAGCCAACGTCTAAGAATACAGTAAATACAAATTACGATTTACAATTTAAAATGGAATTCTCAACTGAAAAAGCTTGTCATCGATTTGAGAATGGAATAACATATTCGTTAAGACGCCATTATATCTTCGCTAAGAACTCATGCTTTTGTCGTTGACCACAAGAATAACATATACTTATGTTCATCATCAGATTTGTCTTCTGAAACTCAATTTGTAAGACCTTTGCCATGTGTGCAACATGAACTTGGAGATAAGAAAACCATTGTGGAGCATGATATTTCAGAACTAGGTGGCTTGACTAAAGAATATGCAATATTGAAGGAAATCATTTTCTCATTGATGAAGAATGCTTTGTCACAGTAAACAATATAAATTTACTCTTTTTATTTTCTTTTTTGAACTAATAATACTATCCAGTGGTCTGTTATAGAAAATACTATTATATTTTATGAAGCCTTCTTGTTTCCATGTAAATAAAATATTGGATGTTGAAACATCCACTACAATGAAGACTAGGCATGTTTTATTGCGTAGAATGTATTTGTTGGTAAAAGGTAAATTACAGAGGATTTGATTTTGCACCAGTTGGTTAGCATCAGACTCTGAAACTTGTTTTCGTGTTCTTGACTGAAGTTTGGTCCATGATAAATGACGTGAATGAGATTATGAGGGCTAGACAGTCCAGCATGGGACCTAAATTTTATATATTCTCTGGGCTTTTATTTCTATAATAGGGAAAATATCCTCTCTTTTTATTTTTTTATTTAATGTATCATTTTGTGTTTTCAAACAGTAAAGTATTCTTATTGTTATTTAATCAGGTATTCTCTTATGCATTCATTCACAAGTACCTCTTTTTTAATCAGGTATTCTCATTTGTTTCACATAGCAAACGATAAATGATGATGACTAATGTAATTGTTATAGTTTTGGTTTGCAAACTGCAAAAGGAGTACTTTTTCATGGTTCACCCGAAACGGGAAAGACTACTTTGGCACGACTATGTATTTGCGATTCTGGTGTCAGCCTCTTCTGTGTTAATGGACCTGAGATTGTTAGTGAATATCATGGAGAAAGTGAGCAGAATTACACAAAGTTTGAGTCAGCTATTCAGGCTGCACCTTTCGTGGTTAGATTTTTTTTCTGTCAAACATGATAGTTTTGTTAACTTCTCTTCTGTGTGTTTTACAACTCCATGCTTAAGTGATTGAGATTTGAGACACCACGAAGAGGATGAACAAAAGAATCTTGGATGTAAGATGTATGAGCCAAATGTTAACATGTCAATTTTAATCCTCCGGTTTTTATTTTTTTGAAGAAAAATATTTATGTGATTGAGGCTGGCGGGACTAGAGGATATGAGATGAGGGTGATTTTAGAGAGAGATGTGGGAGAAAGATGGAGAGAGTTGAGAGAATAAAGAAGGAAGAGAAAGGGTCACTTTTAGGCAATGAATATGGTCAAATGATGCTAAAAAAGTCAACTAACGTGCCACATCATTATTTCATTATCTCAATCCATAACGTTTTAGTGACCAATTTGTTAGTTTTAAAACTTTAATGAGGAAAAAAAACTTATTAAAAAATCAGTGACTATATGTGTAGCTTACGCTATTATGTATTTTCCCTCTAAATGGATAAGGCTTGAGTTTTCTTGTTAGAAAATGAAAATTTACGTTTGTGCTAGTTGGTTGGGCTTTGGCTTGTTCGCTTACAAAGAAAATTCAAATGGGCTCACAAAAGGGATATCCGACCATTTTATGAGTGAGCAAAATTCCATTTAACTAAAAACATAATTTTTAATTAGATTCGATATTAAAAATTTAGAATTAATTTTTTAAACTTGAATCTAATTGAATTTTTTTAAATAAAGTTTGAGTTCTAAAATAGGATTCGAGTAACTTAAAACTTTTAATAATTAATGAATTGATTTTAAAGTTTAAACCTAGTCACTTTGAATGATATATGTGCATATGGAAAACTATTAAGAAATATATATATATATATATATATATATATATGGTTATAAAAAGTTGTTTAAATTGGAATCAATTAGTATCTTGATATTATAAATATTTATAATTAAATTTAAACAGAAACTCGAATAGTTCTATTCAACTCGCATTTCATAAACTAGACTCGAAAAGTTTTTAAATAAAATTTACTTTTATAAAACAAGATTCGTCAACTAAACTAACTCGATTCGTCTCTATCGAATACTCACCCGTAGGTCATATCATATCAGTGTTCCATACTAAATCATTGTTGTAAAGCACATGTCATTGTCCTCTCAAAATTTGATTCCAGGCTACCAGCAAAGGTTATGATGCATGCCATTTAATGTTTGATTCATCAGCTAAAAAAAAATCTGAAATTTGGGTACCATTAGCTGTTGAAACCTTAAGCCAAGACCTAAAACACATCTCAGTCATCGATCAATATTTCTAAAAATCTACTTTTCTTGTCATCCATGGAAGGAATATGAATTTAAAAAGAAAAGGAAAGAATAAAGAAATTTGCATGAGCAAAAAGAAGCTTTTTTTAAAAAAAAAAATCGAAAACTATATCACTTCGTATTTGTTACTAATCTGCATTCCTGTTCCCTACTTTATTCGTATTCTCCTCTTCATTAACACTGCAACTTGCCCTTATAAAGGGTCTGCAACCCTATTCATTTGTGTTCCATGCTAGATTATTATGGTAAACATGGCAAGAAACTATGGGTTTCTGGTTTGTCTACTGATCATGGCTTTGGACATTACTGCCGGGGTACTTGGCATTGAGGCTGAAATTGCTGAAAATAAGGTACGCTTAGAGGCTTAGCATGTAAATAGAATTGTATCCTTCATTTTCTTTTTGGATGATCCTTTGGTTCTTTGCTGAACAGGTGAAGCATTTGAGGATGTGGATTTTTGAGTGCAGAGACCCCAGTTTGCAGGCTTACAAGCTCGGACTCGCGGCATCTGTACTTCTCGGCCTCGCCCATGTTGTTGGGAACTTGCTCGGTGGTTGCGTGTGCATTTGGACGAAGGAGGACTTGGATCAAGCATCTGCTAATAAACAATTAGCCATCTGTTCCCTCATCTTCTCATGGTATGTAATTCTTTTCGAAGTTTTTTCATGTATTTAGAGATCTTTGGAAGTTATATTCTCGTATTTATAGCTCATGATCCATCAACATGCAATGCTCCATAGCTTTTTCTTGATCGCGTATTGGTGATATCGTATTTGTACTCGTATTTTAGACACGAATGAAGATTTTGAACAACATAAGTCTCTTCTTATGTTCCTCTGTGTGCAGGATAATATTAGCTGTTGGATTCACAATGCTGATCATAGGGACACTGTCAAACTCAAAGTCAAGGAAATCATGCGGCATATCCCATCATCGTCTTCTTTCCATTGGAGGAATTCTATGTTTCATTCATGGACTTTTCACTGTTGCTTACTACGTATCAGCCACCGCAACAGCCCGAGAAGACCGTTCTAATAGATCTCGAGCCGCCGCTACCACCACCACGGCTGCCTAACTTGCCTTTTCCTACTTCTCCAAGCTTTGTAACAAAGCCAATACTACATTCTTTTTCAATTATCTTTATTGATATTTTGGATGTAACCATGTTAATGGCTTTTTCCCCCTTTTCTTGTTAATGAAATCGATTTCTTTCGGGTGAAGTACTTGCAGAAAACTAAGAATGTGCCTCTAAAAATGATGAACAATGCTTACATCAAAATACAACAAATTGTGTTTAGCCAAGCTTGTCAATGACATCGTTCAAAGCTGATGCAGTCTCAGCATAGTACTTCTCTACTTCGGGTGTGCTCTTGATCTTGGCTGCATGGTCAAGCTATACCAAAAAACCAAAACCATTATCAGAAATTATTCATGATAAGCTAAAACATTTCGTTGAATAACACCGATCGGTCATCGGTCCGTAAACATCGAAACTTACCCCGTCGATGGTGTTGAAGAGCTTCTTAGTGAGTTCATTGAGAGACTTCTTCTCATCTTTGGGCTTGGAGGAGATGAAGGTTTTAAGGTCTTAGCGGAGATACTCGGCCTTAGCTTAAGATCGTTCATGACATAGGACCAAGCCTTTTTGTCAATCAAGCTCTTGACACGAAGAATGTCCTTGGCTGATTACTCTGTCCTCTGAGCTGCCTGAGCCGGAGTGAGTTGTTGGATGAAGAACCGATCTTTGTACGCCAAATCGAGGTCTCTCGGCTCATCGGAATTCAGAGTTCCGGCTGCCAACATCACATATATAATGATTCCATTTCCAAGTCAAGTTCGATTTTCATGTTCTTGCAAACGGAAAAAGCAATTTGACAACCACCTAGAAAACTAGAACAACTTATGCTAAAAAATCTCGTCATTTTCATTAGGGGTGTGCAAATCCCGGCATCCGATTTCCGGGTCGGTGATTTATCGGCCCGTGTCCTGACCCGGATGTTACGGGTACCTGGTACCCGATTATTTTATTTTTTATTTTTAAATTATTAATTTAAAAAAATATACACAAATTTAAATGTTAGAAACTTCGAATTACATACTCTAATATCCGAACATAAAATTTAAAAGTTCGAAATACAAAATCTTAATAATCCATAATATAAATAATTCATTATATATATATATAATAAAAAAATAAAAACTAACCGGGTATTCGGGTAACCAGGTACTCGCAAAAACTAGATTTTGTGATCCGGGCCCGACCCGATAAATGTCGGGTCGGGTAATTTTCGGTAATTTTTTTTTTAGAAAATTACCCGATTCTTTTAAGTCCGGGTCGACGAGCGGGTCAACCGGGTTGGGTAGTTTTGCACACCCCTAATTTTCATGCTTGGTTTATGTATTTTTTTAGGATTAATTGCATTATAGAGCCGAACTTTAAATTGATCGCAAACTTTAAATTGTTCTAGTTGAGTCCTCAAATAACAAATCTTATTAACCAAGTCCTTATATTTACCTAATCAATAGGTTGGACATTAGACAACGACTCAAATGTGATACAAAACATATATAAAGCATATAGATCAAATCATAACAATAGTGAACAGTTCGGTTTAGTCCGTATTAGCCTTTTTAATTATTGAAAAAAAATACATTTTAGTCCCTCCAAGTTGTTCATGAGTTAGATGTACATGTTTACAGTTTGGTACATGTATGTTAAATATACTCCATTTCAAATCCAAACTAACATGCAATCTCTAAGTTAATGACAAGAGTGACGGAAGGATCCTATAGAAAAGATCTTCATGAATTGAAAGGAAAATCGAGGACTTACGCAATCCACCAGAGGGTGGGGGAGGAGGGCCAACCTTGATGCTTCGAGCATCGGCAAGCACAGCTTGAGCAAAGGAGCCAGTGGCCAAACCAGCAGCAACAAGACCCATCATGTCTCTTCGTCCAGTTTCAGTCTCGGCAGGTGCCTGTTGGGCTCTGACGGTGAAACCAGGCCTAGCCACAGCCACTCGGTTGTTGCCAGCAGTGTTCAACCGGGGGTACGGCAACCGTGATGGAGGCTGCCTTCGAGCATAGCCTGTGAGGAGCCACGTAAACCAGCCATCGATGCCACTGCTTGTGCCATGTCCGCAACCAAATGATTTTCAACAATACTAGAGGTAAGTAGAAATGTGGGATTATGTTGTTTAGTGATGGCTTATGTGATTAGATTGGTTTGGGACACCCCCACACCTTATCTGCCATCTTGTACCTTGGATAAGTCGGGTATGGTCTGACCCAATTGTTGCGAGACATGTGGCTGACGATGGTCTTGTCATTGGCTATGCTGGATTGGATTTAATATGACCTGGTTTATGTTTTGCCACGTGGATTACTAAAGATTTCGACATTGACTGTCCACATCAACTGTTGTCCCTAGTGGCTCAACTCCTTGATCCACTTTAGCATCAATATTCAAATATGAAACAACCCATTCATATGCTTTATTTCTAAAATAGAATGTATTTTCCAAGGCATGGTATACTTATTTTATATTATAAAATAAAAATTAATTATAAATCAAATAAAACTAAAATTTAATTCCATTGGACTAATCATAATTATTAAATTTTATAAACTATTAACACCTAAATGTTATGATTTGGATAAAAATATTAAATTTTTAGTCGAGTTTAAAATTAAGTTGAAAAATTTATGGTCCGAGCCATGCTAAAATGATAGTATAACTTATATATATATATATTTAGGGATAACTATTATAATATATTTTTTTCTATTTTTAATTAAATCTTTATTTTATGGAATAAAAAATATATTTTTATGTCAAATTAGATACAATTTTTATCTTAAAAGTTTGAGTCAAATTAAATTCTAATGAAGAGAGTTTTAATTTTTCAAGTTAAATTTATCAAAAACTTAATTGTTATCATCCATAACTAGGGATGGACATGGGTCGGGTTGGGTCGGATTTTTGGTCCACCCGAATCGACCCGAGAACAATGACTCCTCCCCCGAAATTCGACCGATCCGACCTGATTTTTTGAAATAAAATCCGAACCCGACCCGAAATAATAAAAATATTATTTTTATTCAATAAAAACAATGATTTAATTGAAAAAAATAATATAGAGGGGTATTATTGTAATTATTCCTAAATATATATGATAAAATTATATTTTTTAAGGTCGGGTCGGGGTATTTTTTTTATCTTAAACCCGAATTTAACCTGATCCGAACCCATTTTTTAAAAAACCCAACCTAATTGGGTCGAATTGAGTCGGATCCCATCAAATTAGCCATGCACATCCCTATCCATAACACGATTCGTATATAAAGGTGATTCATTGAAGATTGAACTGCAGTTAACATGTTCAATAAGCCAACAATTGAATGGAGCGGGTAAACAATCCGGCCCAAATTACGCCCTAAAGGAAGCGGTGTATTTCCCGAAAAATTACCGGTGATCGGTATATTTACCGATCTAACACTGGTCAGATTATATTTTTCGATCTAACACCCGTAGCAGTAAAGCGCGCCCCCTGAAACGCGCTATATACTGATTTGGCGTCACGTGGGTATAGCGCCCCCTGTACCGCACTATACGCTGACATGGGTTACACGTGTGTCTAGCCCCCCTTATCCGCCCTATACGCCACGTAGGGGTATAGTGCGGATCAGGGGCCGCGCTATACGCCACGTAGGGGTGAATTATATTTAACGCGGTCTCTAGTCCGCGCTATATCTTTTATCTGAATAATTACATATAGCGCGGTGCAGGTACCGCGCCTTATATGGTTATAAATACCCTCTTCCGCCGGTTAAGTTTCTCGCATCTCCTCTCAACTTATAAATTAATACAACAATTCCGACAACGAGTAATAATTATGTCAATCTTCTCATATTTGATTTAGAAGTTCGTGCGATTTTTCGTTATAAGGTAATTTTGTTATAATTTTTTAATTATACTTATTGTTTATTATCATTATTTGAAAAAATATTATACTAATTATTTCAATTAATTTTTATGTTTGTAAAATTGAAAAGCGGGAGCATACGTCGAAATAGTTTTGCGGTGTAGATAATAATATAAAATTACATTATTTAAATTATTTACGTTGATGTGTAAAAAATTTATTGTATTATATTTTTGTTCATATATAATTTATTTAATCATGTTTGTTTCAGTTATTTTTTTTTTTGCAGATATAATATTGCCGCACTTTTAAACTCAAAGAATGGCGCGACTTTCAGCCATTATTTATTATGATGGTGAAATTCGAGAAGATTAAACCGGCGTTGTTTTCGTATCAAATGAGCGTGTTAAAATATCATTCAAGAGAAACATAACTCTTGAGGAGCTGATAACGAATATTTCAAGGAAAATTCATGTTGGAAGTAGTAGAAGAATGTCGTCGTTGCAGTACAGATTTCCAACATCATTATTGGCATTAACTTATACAGCGTTCGAACTTTCGAACAATGATGATGTTCAAATGATGGTTGAAGCTCAAAGTAATTATTCAGACGCGTTATTGAGATGTATGCACATTTTGTTCAAGTGCGTACTGTTCGGGGTCAATCATTAAGCTCTCACTATGGGCTGACTGAACAAGTTGATCAAGTTGACAGCTTCGACTACAGTAATGTGTAATGATTTTAATGCCATAATGGGGAGACATTCATCCGCAACTCCTTACGATATGTACCGAGGTGGGTCTACGAATAATCCGTATGGTAACACCGCGTCCAATTCAAGGGGAAGACATTCATTTGCAAATTTCTTTGACCTTAATATGGAGATGTCATCGACGCAACAATCTGTGCAGTTTCCATTTGACACGATGACTTTAAGCTCCAGGGGGAGACATTCGACTGCGAGTTTTTTCGATCTTAATGTCGATATGGCTTATAGTTCAAGGGGAAGACATGCAAGTAGTAGGTTCTTCGACCTAAATGTGAAGCGCATGGAGGAACCATCATCTCCACCAGAAGAACTGATTCGTGAGCCTGGTGCGGATCGTGCTGAGACTGGACTATTCATTCACCCAGAATCTAATACACGGTCCTTCTCCTAAAAATAAATAATTATAAAAATTAATTCTTAATCTAATAATCATGCATTAAATAAATCAACTAATTATTACTAATAATTTTAATTAAATTAAAACGTTAAAATATTACCGTATCAGCAAAGTGTCG